TGTGGTTTGTCAGTGATGGACTTCGACTGGAACTCATGGAATTAAACACAATTGCAGTAACTAACAAGAAACATTTTTTGATGAAACCCTCTGCGGCCATGATGCTGAAACGCTAACATAAAAGCTTCCGTGGCAAGCTAGTAGTAACTTGAGGATCCGGCGAATTATATTCGCTGTTAAGATTGTTGTTAAACTGCAAGACATGCATAACACATTTTTGGATCAAAGCACATATTAAGAAATACTAAGATTTGATAGGATGATATGTCCATTTGGGATAAAATAAATAATGTTTTCACTCAAGCTTTAATGGTATCATAAACTTCATCCAAATACAGTTCAATCACTGAATCACTAAAAGTTGGTAATAAAACTCTTTGCCGCTCGGACCGCCGCCAGCAGAAAATGGCGCCGTCCGCACAGGGATATAGTGACCATTAGTACTATAAAACAAAACCGGAACGGATTGACTATACAGTGTGCGTTGGCTGCACGTTCGACAATGGTCTTCGATTCTCATATTTCGAGCAGCACTAGAGACCTGTATCTATTACTTTGAAATAGAGATGATGAACTCACATTTAGATTTTTGTGAGAAGGTGAAAATAACCTCAAAAGCTGACGTGATTCATAGTTAAACACAATTAACAATATGACTGAGAGATTGAGTGGTGAACAAAAACAGTCTCTCAGTCATATAAGTAACATAATAACACTGCGAAAATAGCAGTGAAAATACTATAATTTCGAACAATTAACAATGTCTTCACGCAAAAAAGGCGTCATCATTTGAAAAGGAAAACGGTTAACAGTGTTAATGGGAACTCCTAAGAGCTTATGAGAATTACAAAAGTAAAGAAATTTCCATTTACCCCAGACAGCTAGTTTCTTGATTGCATCTCTTCTGAATGCTCATGACATTCCATGACTTTTTATCAAAAATGCTGTGTTGTAAAACCTTACTGGGAATATCGAAGACGGGCGACTAAATTCAGCTTCAGTAATATTCGTTGTCCCCAGATCACAACTTTCTTCAAAACCTTCTTCAAATGTATAACTTCACTGCTACGACATTCAGCAAGCTAATTAAAACCATTGTAAAATCCAATGACTAAAACTCTGACCTGCACAGACGATGATGGACAGCGAAATAGTCATCCTAATTTTCTCAGTTGCTTACTAAGCGAAACCGACAAAATATATTCATTTCGGTTTGAAAATGTTAAATATTCGATATTTTTGAATGAAAATCACAATAATTTCAGCATTATCTGTTGTCATATGCTTTTTGAGTGAATTTTCAGCAGAACTTCTTGTTCCTAAGAAACGATGAGCGAAGTACAGAAAAGGAAATAAAAGAATTTATTACAGCTTTCTGAACCCATTCAATGCCATAGTAATATTAGTCCTTACACTTCACCCTAGGTAATTTGGCATCACCACATATCTAAATGTTTGAGGCTCAAATTCTCAAAAACACTGACATCTCTATGTTTGAAAATATGGAAAAAGTACAAAATGTCAAATAAAATTCCTATATGTAAAATTTGCTCAAGAAGCATCTTTCATTCGAAAATGTTAGTTATATGAAAAATATTGAGTGATATGCGAAAATCTGGTACTCAGGTAGGAGATGAGCACGGGTTTCACGTCTTCCGGGGATGTGTGATGCGACTACACCACTGAGGCTATCAACCAGTTATTACTCCTACTGCAATACAAGGTTACAAAATGGGAGGTATAGTTGGTATCTTCTTCTATACATTAAAGTGGTCAGTCCGAAAATGACTAAATAGCGGACAATTCTAGCACTCGAGTGGAGAAAAGTCTCATCACTTCTGTGACCATTGCTTTGTTATATTCTTTGTTGAGTTAGCCAATGGCTCAAAGTTGATGACCATAAATAAAGGTGAAAACGTTAAAACATTGTTAAATAAATTTATTGCTATCAACCTCATGTTCCTGATTCAATCAATAACAAATATACGAAGGAGTAGTGATGCCAAAGTAGAATGAGTGCCGGTTTACAAATTACTCCTTTTCAAGTAGGAAACATGCCCAGTATTAAATGATGCAAAGAAACTGTTTCAGAAACAAAAGTACTGTTCACAGAAGCGGCAACAAAAGCGATGCACCAACCGGGAGTCGAACCCGGGTCTGTACCTTGGGAGGGTACAATGATACCGCTACACCATTGGTGCTCGTTGAAGAATCGAGCGTTTTCTCCACATTTGTTGAACATATTTCCAACACTGATAGAAATAGTATTTCTCGCAATGGGATATTACGTCGAACAACCTAGGTAACAGGTTTGAATGTTCAGGTAGATCACTTCTAGCAATCACAATAATACGTGACTTTTACTTTTTGATTTTTCAACCTCAGTAATGCGCGACTATTGATTCCAGTAACTTCTAAATACCAATAGCTCAGTTAGGTGTAGAATCTTTATGAGAAAAACTTCAAAATATGATCTTCAAACACCCCAGAATAGAGCTATTCTATCTTGATTAAATTATGTCGAACTACTCAGGCAGCAGTTTGAGTGGTCGGTTAGACCACTGCTAGGAACCGCATTAATATGTAACTTGTGATTTTTGTAACTATCAATTTTTGATTTTCAACCATAATGACTAGTCACTTTGAATTCTGGTGAACTTCGAGTTTCAATAACACAGTTTGCTGTAGAACCTTTATGAGAGAGGTTTCAGAATTTGATTTTCTTACACCCTAAAATAGCGTGGGCTATTTTGATTTGAGCTATCGAATGATCGATAAGACTATGAAAGCAACTAAAAATAGATCTTTCTCAAGATCTCCCGACGTCGTGGATAGGAGAACTAAACGCGAACCAAGGGCGACAGTGTGCTTCTTAGAGACGCAGGAGGATTAAGGGGTAAGGTCCCTGCTTTCGCAGCGCCGATTTGACGAAACTCTTCTCCTACAAGTCAAATTGGTCTAAAGAATGCAATCCAGCAGCAGGGATCTACATGGGATACGCTCAGTAGCGCCTCCTACAAATAAGCTTCTCCTGCCTCTCCGAGAGAGAGACTGGCAAGCTACTCGTGAGTACCCAGTCCCCCCTGTCAGAGCCTAGCAAGCTATACGCTGAGTATCAAAATGCTAAGAGCAGCAATAAATATGGGTCTGATCACCTGGCCCCAAGGAAGCCCCCACTACGGCAGCGTCGTGTAGGACGAGTGCGGAGAGGGTGCTAAAATCTTAGGGTCAGACTAGGCAGCCAAAATCGAAACGAACTAAAATGACGATCTGTAACTATATTGCACCAACACTTGCATACAAATCCGTTGGAAAAGATCTATCGATGCAAACAGGAAGGATAGGGTCGACACAAGTGGCCTGGCTAAAATAAAAACACGTCATCCTTTTCACCCTAACTATGACACCGCAGAAGAAATGTTTCGTGGAACATAAAATCGCACAGGTGTCGGCGGGCGTTGGCGTCCTGATTAAAATCAAATTTGACCGTAAACATAGATTCATTTGAACAACTGACAACCCGTATCGGACGATTGCGGTTCTAACGATGTGGATCAATGCCGGCATTGACCATCTTCATTGCTTACGCATCAACATCAAGCTATGACGAAGAGAAGTCGCAGCGTTCTACATGGTTTTCGAAAATTTCTTCAGAGAGGACAATATATTCGTGATGGTCGTTGTTAGATAATTCAACGCGAAAATAGGACCTGAAAGAGCGTCTGGAGAACATCACATGGGGACCCACAAACTAGAATGGAATGAGCAAGGTGAGAGGCTATTTGGGTTTATCACGATGGTCAAATCCCATTCATGTTAACTCACAATTCCAAGAGCTCGCTCTCAACTATGGACGTAGGAGTCTCCCAATGGAAATTACCATAACGAAATAGACCACACCTCAGTAAATCGCAGCTTTTGCCTAACCGAAGTCGCTGTTGCTCCTAAGTTCCACATTGAAACAGACGTCGTCTCCTTTGCCCAACGTTCCCTTTTTGGCGAAAAGGAGAGAAGGTAGCCAGATTCAAACAACGAAGTTTCAGAACTACAATATACTGGGATGTATGCATGTCATTAGTCGGTTTTTGGGAAGATACCGTTATCGACAACATCAGCGAACAATACGACTCTCTCGTTGAATATCTTCACATCAGTGCTATAAAAGCCGCGATTCCTAATGTCACAAAGAAACACTTGTCGCAAACACTCGAGCTTATACGTTAACGTGGAATCGAACGAGCTACAGGCAACCGAACCCTCACGTCCGGTATTGCGAAAAGCTGCAGAGAAACGATAAAAGAAAGTTTCAAAAAGAGAAAAGCAGTTGTTATGGCAAAAGCTGCAGAAGCTGGAATGAGCATTCGCAAAGCCAGCGAAGCTTCGCCAATTACAAGACCAAGATGATTGCACTTTGACGCCCTATCGGGGCACTTACAGCTTAGGAAAGGCAATGAAGAAAATCATTTACGACTTCTACTTGGGCCCTATCAGCCATGTTCTTTTACCGTCGTATGAATTGAAAGAGATTAAATCTGCCTTCTCACCGGTTCTCCCTTTCAAAATTCGAAAATTCGACGTACTTTCGCCGGGGACGAATAGAACAACACGCGGTCCAGACACGATTGAACCATAAACGTCTGAGAAATCTACCGCAAGATTTCATCAGCACTCTTACACGGCTCCTCACTTGCTACGTGACAGAATGAACGGTTCCCAATTGGTGAAAATTAGAAAGACTATGTCGCTGTTGAGAAAGGGAGATCTTCACTGCATGTACATTGTGTATAAACTCCTCATTGGAGTCATCTCAAAGAGGATTGACAGAGCACTGAACGAACGACAGCCATGCGAACAAGCAAGGTTTTGAAAAGGAATTGGTACCATAGACCATAACCACACGATCACAAGACTCAACAAAGTTCTATTAAAGTACAAAATACCACACTGCGTCACTTTCAGCGATTTGTAGAAAGTCTTTGAATGAGTGGTCAGGCGAATGTGCCTCGGTGGTGTAATGGTGGAGCACGTGTTCCTAGATAGGGCGAAACGCGAGTTTGATTCCCGCTTGAGGCAGTGTTTTTGCTCACCATTCAATTCTCCATGGTATACACGTAACATCATGACACTGCGAAAGAAGCAGTAAAAATATTAGAATTTTCGAGTATTAGTCTTTAATTCATTGAAAACAAAAGCAGTTATAGAGGATCTGGATAACTAGTGCATTCCTAGTCGATACATAACGATCCTTGATGAGCTATATAGAGATTTCACAACCAAAATATCGCTTTTCTGCAACACTAGTACCATCGACGTAAGGAGAGGGATTCGACAAAGCGATACAGTTTCGCCATAATCATTCACTGCCACTCTCGCAAACGTCATGCGAACATTAGGATGGGACGTTATGGGAGTGAAAATTGATGGTCGGCAATTGAACCATCTTCGCTTCGCTGACGATATCGTCCTCATAACACCAAGCATCAGCTAGGCGGAAGAATGTTGACCGATTTCGTCAACAGCTGTGGAAAAATTGACCTTCAGCTGATTCTAATGAAAATGATGTTTATGAGGAACGGATGGGTTTTGAATGCCCCATTCAAGCTCAACGAATCAAACTTCTCCGAATGCTTCAGTTACATATATATAGGTCGCAAAATCAATGCAATGAATTACCTAACTCCAGAGTTGAGCAGGAGGAAAGAGCGGTGTAAGGAACGTTTTATAGCGCCAGGATGTAGTGAAGAGAACAAAGAGCATCCGACTCCGTAACCACCTTTTGGACTCGACGATTATCCCTGCCCTAACGGCAAACCTGTTCACTACGTAAGCAGGACGAAAGATCACTTTGCGTTATTGATCGCGTTTCATCCATTCCGGGGTCTTGTTCATCCATACGTAATTTTACTCGCCACTCAGTTTTCATAACTATGTATGAAATATCATATTACTGCGAAAAATGCTGTAAAAACACTAAAAATTCGAGCGTTTTGCCTCAAAAATCGAATTTTATTGAGGAGCCTTCTAGGAAGGTTTCTTCTTTACTGCAGACATCGCCCATGCATCTTAATATTGAAAAATTGTTGAAAGTTATCGGCGAAGTGACACCGCATGCAGTGGGCAGCGTCACTTTCTAAAGACTTTCATTGTTTTCTAATTTTCGTTCTCTACTTTTCATTTTCGATATCGCCATGAACAAAAAATTTTGAAACTAAATTCCTTATATTGTACTATGCTTCATAGAGCTTCTTCACAAATGACTGAACGCTAGCAGCAGCAAAATTGTATAGTGAATGAATGCATTTTCTTTACACACAAGTTTTATATGTACAGTACACATGGGGCGATGTAAGTAAAAACATGGTGCCATCAAAGAATGGCGAAAGCTTCGAAATGATTTCGATTCGGAAAGAGAAACCTTTGATATAGTGACGGAAATCGCACTGTTCTTATAAGTAACTCTAAGCGTAGCGATTAAATTGCTGTCCGCAGAAGATCAAATAGCTCTATTTTAGGGTGTAAGAAAATCAAATTCTGAAACCTCTCTCATAAAGGTTCTACAGCAAACTGTGTTATTGAAACTCGAAGTTCACCAGAATTCAAAGTGACTAGTCATTATGGTTGAAAATCAAAAATTGATAGTTACAAAAATCACAAGTTACATATTAATGCGGTTCCTAGCAGTGGTCTAACCGACCACTCAAACTGCTGCCTGAGTAGTTCGACATAATTTAATCAAGATAGAATAGCTCTATTCTGGGGTGTTTGAAGATCATATTTTGAAGTTTTTCTCATAAAGATTCTACACCTAACTGAGCTATTGGTATTTAGAAGTTACTGGAATCAATAGTCGCGCATTACTGAGGTTGAAAAATCAAAAAGTAAAAGTCACGTATTATTGTGATTGCTAGAAGTGATCTACCTGAACACTCAAACCTGTTACCTAGGTTGTTCGACGTAATATCCCATTGCGAGAAATACTATTTCTATCAGTGTTGGAAATATGTTCAACAAATGTGGAGAAAACGCTCGATTCTTCAACGAGCACCAATGGTGTAGCGGTATCATTGTACCCTCCCAAGGTACAGACCCGGGTTCGACTCCCGGTTGGTGCATCGCTTTTGTTGCCGCTTCTGTGAACAGTACTTTTGTTTCTGAAACAGTTTCTTTGCATCATTTAATACTGGGCATGTTTCCTACTTGAAAAGGAGTAATTTGTAAACCGACACTCATTCTACTTTGGCATCACTACTCCTTCGTATATTTGTTATTGATTGAATCAGGAACATGAGGTTGATAGCAATAAATTTATTTAACAATGTTTTAAACGTTTTCACCTTTATTTATGGTCATCAACTTTGAGCCATTGGCTAACTCAACAAAGAATATAACAAAGCAATGGTCACAGAAGTGATGAGACTTTTCTCCACTCGAGTGCTAGAATTGTCCGCTATTTAGTCATTTTCGGACTGACCACTTTAATGTATAGAAGAAGATACCAACTATACCTCCCATTTTGTAACCTTGTATTGCAGTAGGAGTAATAACTGGTTGATAGTCTCAGTGGTGTAGTCGCATCACACATCCCCGGAAGACGTGAAACCCGTGCTCATCTCCTACCTGAGTACCAGATTTTCGCATATCACTCAATATTTTTCATATAACTAACATTTTCGAATGAAAGATGCTTCTTGAGCAAATTTTACATATAGGAATTTTATTTGACATTTTGTACTTTTTCCATATTTTCAAACATAGAGATGTCAGTGTTTTTGAGAATTTGAGCCTCAAACATTTAGATATGTGGTGATGCCAAATTACCTAGGGTGAAGTGTAAGGACTAATATTACTATGGCATTGAATGGGTTCAGAAAGCTGTAATAAATTCTTTTATTTCCTTTTCTGTACTTCGCTCATCGTTTCTTAGGAACAAGAAGTTCTGCTGAAAATTCACTCAAAAAGCATATGACAACAGATATTGCTGAAATTATTGTGATTTTCATTCAAAAATATCGAATATTTAACATTTTCAAACCGAAATGAATATATTTTGTCGGTTTCGCTTAGTAAGCAACTGAGAAAATTAGGATGACTATTTCGCTGTCCATCATCGTCTGTGCAGGTTAGAGTTTTAGTCATTGGATTTTACAATGGTTTTAATTAGCTTGCTGAATGTCGTAGCAGTGAAGTTATACATTTGAAGAAGGTTTTGAAGAAAGTTGTGATCTGGGGACAACGAATATTACTGAAGCTGAATTTAGTCGCCCGTCTTCGATATTCCCAGTAAGGTTTTACAACACAGCATTTTTGATAAAAAGTCATGGAATGTCATGAGCATTCAGAAGAGATGCAATCAAGAAACTAGCTGTCTGGGGTAAATGGAAATTTCTTTACTTTTGTAATTCTCATAAGCTCTTAGGAGTTCCCATTAACACTGTTAACCGTTTTCCTTTTCAAATGATGACGCCTTTTTTGCGTGAAGACATTGTTAATTGTTCGAAATTATAGTATTTTCACTGCTATTTTCGCAGTGTTATTATGTTACTTATATGACTGAGAGACTGTTTTTGTTCACCACTCAATCTCTCAGTCATATTGTTAATTGTGTTTAACTATGAATCACGTCAGCTTTTGAGGTTATTTTCACCTTCTCACAAAAATCTAAATGTGAGTTCATCATCTCTATTTCAAAGTAATAGATACAGGTCTCTAGTGCTGCTCGAAATATGAGAATCGAAGACCATTGTCGAACGTGCAGCCAACGCACACTGTATAGTCAATCCGTTCCGGTTTTGTTTTATAGTACTAATGGTCACTATATCCCTGTGCGGACGGCGCCATTTTCTGCTGGCGGCGGTCCGAGCGGCAAAGAGTTTTATTACCAACTTTTAGTGATTCAGTGATTGAACTGTATTTGGATGAAGTTTATGATACCATTAAAGCCTGAGTGAAAACATTATTTATTTTATCCCAAATGGACATATCATCCTATCAAATCTTAGTATTTCTTAATATGTGCTTTGATCCAAAAATGTGTTATGCATGTCTTGCAGTTTAACAACAATCTTAACAGCGAATATAATTCGCCGGATCCTCAAGTTACTACTAGCTTGCCACGGAAGCTTTTATGTTAGCGTTTCAGCATCATGGCCGCAGAGGGTTTCATCAAAAAATGTTTCTTGTTAGTTACTGCAATTGTGTTTAATTCCATGAGTTCCAGTCGAAGTCCATCACTGACAAACCACATGACAAGCTGGACTCTGATGAGAGTTGATCTGATTTGTCTTGTGATTAGATCGAAAGAAATTAAAGGTGACAAGAAAGTCGAACATCTGATATTTGAAACCGCTTGCTGACCACCGCATAAAAAACCTTAAAGTTAAGATTTTTTGGGTTTACGGCTGAAAATGATCTGCACTGCAGGTGTTACTCGTGGGATACACATTAATAATATCTAAATGAACTAGATTTTAGCGTTCACTTGTTGTTATGATTGATAACAAAATAATTACGTTCTATTTTCACATTTGAAAGCTGGAATTTTCTATCATTACAAACATTGGAGGCCATCGGTGACTGTTTTTTCTCCACAACCAGTTGAAGACAGCTTACCAAATGTGTGATCAGAATTCGTGCTATAGGTGAAGCCACTCCCCGATTCTAGTGTTTTGACTCGGGCTGTCATCACTTGATCAGTTGTCACACTACATTAAAACCTCAGAACTATTCAATCACATTTAGCAAGCACTCGCTCACATGGTGTTCTGCCGCCTCAGATACCATTCGAATTGTGCACTCCAATGCAAACGACCATCTGTGTGTAGATCAACGGCTTCGATTAACGCGATTTTAGTAAAGACGATGTTGCGAAACGCTGGCTGAATAGAATTATCTATCAGCTACGCGCTAGTCTAATGCCCATATGTAGTGAGGACATGATGATCATCCACTCATTTACAACGAGTTCAATAAAGTCCACTGCATGGCACACTCAACGCGAATTGATCAGTCTCAAATGCTTCATCCTCTACTTCTCTCATCCTTTAATCTCCGATTGTAAAACTATTCTGTGTCCT